AGTTTTCAGCTTTGTTTGTTCTGTTGAACACAAAAGAAGACATTTTGTAAAAGGCTGAAAATCGGTAACCGTTGACTTTCAAAGTATTTAAAACAAATAATATGAAAATTTTACTATAACTTTTATCAGCTTTCTTTATTCTGTTGAACACAAGAAGAGATGTTTTGAAAAAAGCTGAGAATTAGTAATTATGTTTAATGGTCTTTATAATGTTAAATCTTTATAAGTTTAAAATATTTAGATTTTTTAAATGTGTGCACATTTATATGATTTTATGTATATATTACCTCATCTTTGCAACTTATTACAAAAAATAAAAATAAATAAAAATTACCGATTGTAATTACTGACAGTAATTTACTACTGACCGTAAATTTTATGTTGTTCTCTCTTCTAGCTTTGGTTATCAGTCTCACTGTCTTCATTTTCTGAAAGTCTTGACACAACCATCTCACTGTCTTCATTTTCTAAAGAGAACACCACCATCAAGTTTTTCTTTTATTAGTTCAGTTAATAGGATTGTACAAAAAAATTTGTTGTACTCTTCCATTCATTGCGTTCCCAGTTTACTATGACGACTTCCGCCAATTAGAAACCCGTAAATGTGAAAAGTCCATAAACAGGCTCATTGTGAAAACGTACCCCGTATTCATTTCTGGAGAGCGCAAATTTCTGGAGAGCTACGCATGGCTGAATTTCACCTTTAAAATGAATGTGATGCCACCGGTAGATTTCGCTTCACTTCACACTATCAGCTAACTGATTATCTATGTGTGGTCGACATTTTTTCACTGTTACCAGTTCGCCCAGTAGCTCACCATGTACATCGGAGGACTTGAGATGCAGAGAGGAGTTTACCGTGATGACAGGGTTCGAGTTTGGTAAAAACGGTTCCAGAAAACAAGTAAAATAAAAACAAAAGGCTAAATATAAAATAAACAAGTAAATAACAAGCTGACAATGTGGTTTAAATCTGAGAATGTGGTAAAAATCAGATGGCTGCGAGGGCTATTCTTTTTCTAAAAACTGTCGGTTGGTTTTAGGGAAGGGGGTGATCGGGTAAATTGGTGCTTTTGAAAACACAATCGATTGGGTTTAGGGAAGAATGTTGGTTGGGATATTGGTCAGTCAGTCAGTCAGTCATTCAACAGCGGCCTCTGGTGGATTTATGAGAGAACAGCATGTGCAAATGGCACTCGTGAGAGAAACTTGAGATCTAAAAAAGTGTACACAGAGATTTCTGGTGGATTTGCAAAAACAAAAACTGCTAAAAAGTAGCTTCTGGGACATATTCCGCACTGTCCAGAAATGTATACACGATTACGTATTAATAATGAGCCTGGGTTGGAATAAATTTTTATTTTTGTTTGAACAATCCCTTTAACTCTCCAAAAATGGCATAGAAAAGCCATCTGCATTCATACCTTTGCATGCATCCTGCAGATCCACTGCATTACTTTATGCCAAAAAAAATATTGCAACGTGTGTGTACACATGAAACACATGCTCACAGATTCCCCTGTGTCTACATGCAATTCATCTCCTTAATTATGAAAAATATCTTCTCTTGTTATGTGCCCCAGATTTGCTTATTATCTCTTATTAGGGGGAAAAATCTATTTCTGCTCACTGAAGCTGATTCTTTGAACTCATGCAAATAACACATGGACTTCTGGATATTTCTATGTTTAATGCGTTTGAACTTTCCTAGATTCAGATTAATTACGAATTATATATCTCATTGATTCTTGTTAATGTTTTCACATGTGGAACTATGGTTGAAGAACTGTCTGGTAGGAAAGAAAAGACATTTTAATGTAGCACCTTTTTCTCTTAGAACTGAATAAGATTAAGGTTGCGTTCACACTAGGTCTGGTTGGATTAAAATAAACTGTGGTGTAAATGCTTGTATGGGTCATCAGACAAGCAGATCGAGACCCATTAAAAGATGGTATGAAGTCAGGTGTGCTTTAGCTGAAACAATGCACCCTGAATCTAAAAAAAAACAAAAAAATAAATAAATAAATAAAATAAATAAACAGTACAATGTCAAATGATGTAACCATAAAAATGACAGAATGCTGAAGCATATCTAGTTTAGCCGTAGTAATGATTGGTGGTTCACAAAACCTTTGGGCCATCACTTTCAGCTTAGTCTCTATTTCAGAGGTTGCCACAGCAGAATGAACCACCAACTATTCTGGCATAAGTTTTAGGCAGCGGATGCTCTTCCAGCCACAACCCAGTACTGGGAAACACCCATACACATTCATTCACACACACACTCATTCACTACGGGCAATTTTTGTACAGTCAATTTACCAATGCAGTATGTCTTCGGACTGGGGGAAACTGGAGCACCTGAAGGAAACCCACACCAACACAGGGAGAACATGCAAACTCCACACAGAAATGCCAACTGGCCCAGCCTGGACTCAAATCAGCGACCTTCTTGCTGTGAGGCGACATTGCTAACCTCTGAGCCATCGAAATGTTTGGTTTGGATCACAATTCAGTTACTGAGTCACAGATTGTATCCTTTTTCAGCAGAGCTTGGTAGTAACGAGATACATTTACTTCGTTACATTTACTTGAGTAAAATTATTGGGTAACAAGTACTTTTTGAGTGCATTTAAATATGTGTACTTTTACTAAGTAAATTATTAGAGAAAAATCTGTCCTCTTACTTCGCTACATTTCGCGGCGCTCCTCCATTACTGTCAAATGATAATAAAAATGATCCATATGTTTTGTTTGCAAATATCACGAGGTGCTTCATTGGAGAGGTTGTGTCGCGATAGGTTGCTATAGAGACGCGTCTCCTGCTTTCCGTAAGGGCGCGCAAGGCAGCGCGCCTTTGTTGAATGATGCCTGACGAGGGAGACCATGGCCATCTGCGGTTCCGAGAAGGACGATCATGCTGTCTGTGTAGTGAGTCTATCGGAACAGGTCAAAAAAAGGCTGTAAGACCAAGCAGAATCCTGTATTAAAATTCATTTGAAAATTAAGCTAGAAAAATTGTGACGCTCCTTTATTATTATTATGTTTAATTTTTTTTTGATTATTCAAATAGTCAAATTCTGACTTAGGACAGTTAAATGTTGTAGCCAGTTTGTAGGCTAAAGCTAAAATAGTCTACAGTTTTTAATTTAAAACTTCGACATATTCCTATTTTTTTCTAATGATTTATGATCTAATAAATTTGTATTTTAAAAATGAGTATTTATTCATTTTTCTTTATTCCAAATCTTTAGGAAACACTTTAGAAAAAATTTGGTACTTTAAATGTGTCATTATGATGACGACCTAACAGGCTAATCCAGCTAAAATAGTGCTTAAAATGTCACTAAAATGCAGGAGAATAACTGCAAAAAGGTCCACATTTTGAATAAGAGAAAATAATTCTCTTCTCTAGTAAATGTATCCTGATTTGTTTTTGTTAAAGTTAGTGATTTGTTCTTTAAAAATAACAATGTGAATAAGTGAACCAAATGTTAATATCTTATTTTTGTTTGTTTTTGCTTTAAAATAACTAAGAAAACCAAACTAGAAAAGTGAACACACCCTTAATGGAGAGAAAAAAGAGACATGCTTCCCAAATACATTACTCATAATTAAATGAAGCATAACTTAGCACTTAGTTATGCTGAAAATTGAACAATAATAACTGCTCCATTTTTCTTCTGTGCACTCTTGTTCCAGTGAAATCACAAAACGAAAAGCGAACAAACATGTCATTGTCTGATTTACATAAACTTGACAACCTAATTGAATTTATTCCAGCAAGATTTAAACTTTCGATCGCTCTCTGAGCCACACCATTTGAGCTGCTCGAAGACTGAAATCCTAGATTCGCTCCAGCAATGGATGCATCATCCAACTGCAATCTACAGCACTTAGTGAATGTATATCTTCAAATTAAGGAAGACTGATTTACTGACTGACTGTAATGGACAGGCACATTAACACACTCAAAGAGTACACAGAATTGCTAAAACGCAAAAAATGCTATTAGCATTAGGAGACCTCCTGTGTATATGGTTTCATCGTTGAAATGCTTTCATCTTTCGAACAAACACACTTTGCCTGCCACACTCCCATGACTATGACAACCCATTTTGAGAGCTGGCACAGTGAGACATTACCCAGCAGTCTCTGCACAACCCATTTACAAACTGCAGTGAGGCCCATTTATCAGAGACTTTAGCACATGCTCAGATTGTTGCCCATGCAGTTTCACCAACAATCACTGACTGGAGCATGTTAAATATCTCTTGTGCTCACAGGAGTTCTCGCTTCCTTTAGCTCAGGCAACAACTGTTTTGTATGAACTAAATGCAAGCAATCTAACTTAAACCCTGCATGTGATCCTAAGCAACAGATTTGCTTGTTTCTAGAAGAAATAAAAGAGAAGGATCCCAAGGTTATCTGGAGAACAGGTTAAATGGAAAAGTCTCTTATTTTGAGATCTAATGTTGGTAAATAAGTTTGAATCCTTTGTTTTAGGTTCCATGAACCTTTTATACCACTCACTGCAATAGTATGTACTGTAAAGTACTAAATGGCATAAGATAAATATAGGTAATTTGCTTCTCAGAACTAGGCTGGCAACTACCTCTTTGTATCCACTAAATGCAAGCAATCTAACTTAAACTCTGGATGTGATCCCATGCTACAGATAAGCTTCTTTTTAAGAAGATCAAATTGAAAAGGATCCCAAGGCTGTACGAAGAACAGGTCACATAGAGAAAGTGTCTTATTCTAAGATATGGATTCTTTCTTTTATGTTGTAGAAACATGTTATACCACACATTGCTGCAGTAAATCCCATAAAAAAGATTGAATGCCACATAATGAATATACAGTAGGTGATTCGCTTCCCAAAACTAGAGTGGGAATGATGGGAATGCTATTTGTATTGGTGAAAATTTATATAAGCTGAATGAGAATAGGAATGAAACATAAATGTACCACTTATTTAATATGCTTCATAAACTTACCATCCTCTGTGGGAACATAGACATTGAGGTAAAGGCAGTCCTCGCTCTGGTTCTGTACGTAAGCAGCGGCTGCATCCAGGTTGTCAGTGAACCATACGGGAAGCATGATCTCTGGCAGCACCCCATGGATGTTCTGCGGGCAAACGGGTGCAAACTGAGTAGCGTTACGGATCTCCTGCCAGGAGCCGGGTGCCTCCGGGGGTTGGAAGCGTCTCTCGCCCACTGGCGGGGTGGCGTAGGGGACACCCAAGTACTGCTCGACCGGGCCTAGAATCTCATTGTTCAGCTCCTTGCGTACTCCCCGAAGCTTCCCGTAGCCTGTGGTGACCATAGGGTGCTTGGCGGCGGTGAGGTCTGCCCGTTGGCAGGAGGATAGCGCAAGGCGCAGCGCCAAGCCCAGCAGCCACACCAGGCAAGTGTCAGATATGCGTCGTGGACAGGAGCGAACCGTCTCCCGCCGTGATCGGGCCACGTCCACCGATGACATGCTTCGGCTGGGGTGAACGCTGCCCCAGTGATGGGGAACGGATATGAAATGGACAAGAGCAAATACTTTCTGGCCACCCCACTGACTCCGGGATATGCGGAAAGGAGGGTGTGCGTATCCTCAATGGTCCACAGAAGAGGCCTGTTGACACTCAGCGGCGAAGAGCTTCATCCTGATGCTACTGCAACATGCAATGCTTCTATTGCAATTTGCTCATTAGTTCCCTACAGGGAGAGAGAGAGAGGCAGAAAGACAGATATCATTAACTGCTGACGGTAAAACATGCATAGAAACATTATCAACCACAATAAAAGGTAATTACAGTATTGCCGGAGGTTTGAAAATCATATCAACCATAAACATGTGAAACATGAATCTAATTAAATATCATTTGTTCCACTGCATATAATCTTTCTCTTAATGTTTGTTTAATATCTTGGTGGAAATATCTTCCTTTCTTTCTGGAGTATTCTCTAAGGCGCATAATTACAGATGCATATCTGGACGTTGGGCCGTTCTCTCCAGCGTGCTGTCACATCGTCGAGAGGTGCGCCACAGCGACACACATTCACGCTCGGCTACCGGGGGTGTGAAATACTGAGTGTGCTGCTTAATTGACTCCCTCGGAGGAGATGACAGCACCAAGTGTGTTCATTTTAAGTTCCCCCCAACGTGCCGTTGCTCCAGATTCTTGGTTCCTGCCTCCCCTCCGTTCCACTTGACTTAGCCGTGCTAGTTTCAATCTCGCTAGAGTAGATGGGGGCATTTGTGCGTAATAACTGTCTGCTGCTGACAGTCTATGGCACAATCACCTTCCCCCCTTCTGCCGAGCTAAAGACATACATCTACAGGCGGGAATTAACCACATGACATAATGATCTATGAGGAATGCAAAGAGAAGCGTTTACCACCATTTTGGCATGAAAAGATGTTAGGAACGGGCACTGGGTGCACAGAGACAGACCAATTTAAAATTGACTTATAATGAGACACTTAATTCTGGAGTCAAACAGGGTAACAGGAATCAGTGATTCAAGAAGGATGATGTCATACTCGATTGGTTCTGGAAAGTGCTTCCAGAATGACTACGCTTCAGTGGACTTAGTGTATATGTGCTTAAAAATGTACACATACTAGAGGCATCCATTATTAAGCAGAGCTGAAAGAGTGCTGCTGTAGTGACCTCAAAACCTGGAGGACTAATTCACTGCTAGTTCTCTCAACATTTTCCTGTGGATTTTTTAAATGCTTTTACTTTTATTTTTTAAAATTCATGTGTAATAACAAGTGTCATGTGGTACTATAAACATAACTTGATGACATATGACATTTGGACGCATTTGAACACACCCAAGTTCTGAAGCAGTTGTTTATTTTTCAGTCTGCATAAGTAACTAAACAAGTAATGTGTGAGTGTAGTTTATGCTATAGAGCAAACACAATCAAAGTATTGTACCGTATCATCATCATAGAATTTTATTTTGTAGAAATTTAAGTTGTTTCAAATAGTTCCCAAGATAATATTAACTTTTATAAAAATAACTTTTACACTTAGTATTTATCTGTAATGTACTGTATCAGTGAATTTCTTGTTTCACGATAAACAGTGGTTTATGTTATATGATATGATATGATATGATTCCATTGGTAACATTTAGCTCCTCGTTCTTGTCAGCATCAGGCATCTGAAAACATTCTGCAACAGTGGGGGGGTGTAATGAAGTTCACGGCCCTTTGGCCGCTGGGAAGAAGGAGGCGGAGAACCGACGCAGGTTTAAATTATTTATTAATAACAATGACGGCAGCTCCTCACGGAGACTGTCGTCTAAACCAAAACAAACGGATGGCATCTCCTCACGGAGACTGCCGTCAAACTGAAAGCAAAAGTAAAATATGTCCGGGCCCGGTCCTCCGAGGCAGGTGCGCACCTCAGGTGAATCCACTTACGCGGTGGCCTCACTCCCTTCCCATGGCTCTCGGCCACGCCCCCTTGCCACAGGGGGCAACAGTGATTCCGCTAGACGGTAGTTCTGAGGGCAAAGTCGCATTCAAATCTTCCTTCGTTTTGTTAGCAACACCAACTTTCAACGATTCAGTCAAAATCATACACTACCCTACATTTCTAATTTCAGAAACCGTTTTAGTTGGATGAATGCCAAGATACTATAGCTTCATGACCATTAATATTGTAAGAGGCTGAATTATCATATACATTTGTTTATTTGACAAAACATGCTTTTTGACTCAAGAAGGTCCATACTGACTACAAAGGCAGATACTGATAAGATCACAGCCTGTTGTGTGGACTTTGGGGGTTTTATGATGTGGTCACATGTTGATTGGTCAGTTTGAATGTCTCAGCATTTATGCTTTAGTCACATGGTCAGGAAAGATACAAAATAGGTGGTAAACTCGAGCTCTGCCTCTTTTCCTGCCCTCTCTTTTACGTTTCTGTGCTTTCTGCTCTGCTCCTCTCCTCCACTGGAATCTATCTTCTCTGACTCTACTGCAATCAGGCTAACTTCTGGGCCTGTTCTCTTTGTCTCTCTCTCTCCCTCCCCCTGTATCTCTCCTTCTAATTCTGGTAACTTTAATTTTACATTTAAGCTGGGTACAATTTATATAATATGTTTTCATCATTTCATATTTTATCATTTTATACAGTTATTTTGTAATTAATTCAGCTGTAACCATAGAGAGTTATTGTCATTAAATCATTTTATTTTCAAGTATTTGTGAATTACTTTTGATTTAACATCAACATTTAATTGTTCCATATTGCATTACAATACAATCACATAATATCAACGCTCTCCCACATTTATAGCTATTAATACTGCCCTTATTTCCGTTTTTGGTATGAGATATCAGAAGAATGGTTTGACTAGAGATGTACATTTTTTTTTACCAACATACTGATAACTTTTTAGTCACTCGGCAAAACTACAGTTCGAATCGCTGTGGTTTAAAATCCATTCTTACAATATATATTTCGAATATTTTATTTAATCACATTTCCTGCACACCACATGCAGTCTTTGAACATCTGTGGTTTGTTCTGTAGTAATTTCTGTAGGAGGCTAAAAACCTTGACTATAGACATTGTTTTTTGCTAATTCTGCGTATTGTAACTTCTGTGTATTGTAACTTAACATTTAATATGTTAAAAAAAAATACAAAAATTCACTTTTATTTAATGTTTACAATGCAAATCCAATTAGATCCATTTATTTTTTTGTCTATCATAAAATATATCTACCGTATATTTACTAATACACAGAAATCATTACTTTACAAGCTGTATTGTAGGTAAATGATATGAATATTTTCATATTAGTCAGTAATTCCACGGAAATAAATAAAAAAAACTGAATAAATATAAATTTATACACATTTACACACAACTAAATAAATAGACTCGATGGGGTGAAAATCTGTGGATTACTGCACATGCAGATTCCATGTGGGCCGAATGATGAGGTATTTTACCATAAAAAGAAGGCTATGACCATTTTTGCCAATTTCATGCTTCCAACTTTGTGGGAAAAGATTGGGGGTTTTGAATTTGATTGTGTGGGTAAAAAATGGCATATGCGGGTTGACAAAATTTGCGAGGTTTGGAAACATGTATGCAACTTATTTAACAACATATAACTGTGTGCTTTCCCAGAGATGGGTTGTGGCTGGAAGGGCATCCGCTGAGTAAAAACTTGCTGGATAAGTTGGCGGTTCATTCCGCTGTGGCGACCCCGGATTATTAAAGGGATTAAGCTGACAAGAAAATGAATGAATGAATGAATAACTGTGTGCACCGACTTCATTCAGTTAGAAGTGACCACTGCACATGGCAAACCGCGTGGCTCACTCACAAGAGGAGGTGAAGGAAAGCGGTCTCAAAATCTGACTTCCTGGACAACTCTGTCTCCTTTACGCGTGCACACACTTCACACAGCGCCTGCAGTTAAACATGTTCAAAAAAATTTAAAACGCAATGTGACAAATGGGACAAATGTATACCCCATTTTGAAAGTAAAACATACTCTAATAGGTACAGTAGTGTAATCTACACAGCAACAAGTGTCATTGGGTTCTTCAAACAAGTTCGCGAATCAGATTAAAATGTCTGGATAAACTGATCTGAGATCCTCGAAATCATGATCAGCAATGTAACGATTGGCTAATGGCACATCAACGTAATGACATCATCTGATTACTATTCAATTATTCATGTGAGCAAAATTACATCAAATTAGCAGTAAACGGTTTGTTAAATATGACACACAATAACTTCCCACGTTTGTTGTGGGCTGTAGGCTACACACATTTATGTGTCAAGAGTATTCATCATGTATTTTCAATGCATATCAATGTATTTAGTTCTACATTTAGAAAATATTTTTTTTTATTATAGTTTACTAGGTTTACTCAAGTTTTTTTAATCGGTATAAGAAATAACTGGACAAATTCATTTTGCATCAAAAAAGCATTTTGATATTGGTAAAGGTGTCAATCACCGTGAAGGTGTCAATCCCATATTAGTGATCAGAACTCGTACTTGACTGCATAAATTATTATCCTTTTTTAAAAACAAATCGAATATTGTGCATGTACGCGTTTGAATCTAAAAACTTCAAATCAATAAATTTTCTCTTTGAACCACCAGATGGCAGTCTTTTACTTTAAATAATAAATTTTTAGCTTATATATATATATTTTTTTTTACTTTTTTCCCAAGTGTACTATACATTACTACTGTAAGAAAGTATCAGCATTCGGTTCATACTTTCAGTATTATCTTTGCTTGAACTGCTGATAATTTCTTACAGTAGTTATATGCACTTGGGAAAATAGTAAAAAAAAAAAAATAAATAATATATAAATATATATATATATATATATATATATATTTTTTTTTTTTTTTTTTTTTAATTATTTAATTTATTTTTTACTATTTTCCCAAGTGCATGTAACTACTGTAAGAAATTATCATCATTCGGTAC